ACTGTGGACTGGTAGATTATTATTTGAAAACTTTGATTCTATGAGCCATGCCTGATACCTCGAGGTATGTAGAAAAAACATTGCAAGCTGTGTCTATGGTTGAATCACCGATTCGCTGAATCAGCATCAAATCTTCAGATTCAGATTTGGCCGAATCGAATTTGGGACAGTGATCCAAATCAACGAATCAAGTCACTGCCCCTGATTTGGGCCGAATCCAAATCTAAATCAAATACGGCCCATTTCGCACACCCCTAGCAGTTATCTGTCTTAGTCCAAAGTGAGGCAGAAAGCATGGTAAAAATACACTTTATAGACTAACTGAAGCAGAGACATATAAGCTTTCATAAGCAAGAGCTCACTTCATCAGAAACTAGCTCATGAAAGCTCGTGTCTCTGATTCAGTTAGCCTATAAGGTATATCTCTACCCTGCCTTCTGTGAGCCAAATTCTACTCACTACTCATCTACCCTGTATATATGCAAGCATTTCCAGCTAATTCAGAGGAACTACTCATATGAGTATGGTGAGCTGGACTCAACCATATATTAAAAATACAAATAAGGCTTTCAAAATTCTTTCTTGTTTAAACAATACCAGCATTATGACACTCTTGCCCAAAAGGAAAGTTAATCTGTAATTTATATACCAAAGACACCTGTTTAATAGATTGATTCCTTTACATTCATGAAATGGAAACCTATTTAACAAACAGAGCAATTATACACCAAATCTTTTCCACAAGATACAGTCTCAAAATGTACAATAAAAGTCTTCCACATCCTCTAGTGATCTATGCCAGTTAAAACAGATATATATATCCTAAGAATTTAAACACAAACAGATATTGTTTACATCAAGCTGATGTTTTAGTTTATTACATTTTACAAAAGTTGCATACAAAATATGTAATGTAATATTAGAGGCAAACATGATGCTTACTTTCTCTAAATGCTTTACAATATCCAAGGAAAGACAACAAAAAGAACAGGGCACATAGCAGGTCTGCGCGGCCAACAATGCCTGCAACCTTTAACAAAGAAAAGAAAAGAGAAAAGAATTTTGTTTTTAATTACCAGAAACAATTTTTAGAAAATCTTAGGAAATATAAAGGCATATGAAAATAAATGCATACATCATTGTTCATCCTGTAAAGTGGTTTACTAAATAATACAAGGCCTTGGGCATTCACCATGTTTTGTGATGGAATATTTATCTGGCTTTAAGTCAAACAGGTAAATGGTTTGGATTTAATTCACTGAAAGATTACTAATAATTTAAAGTGAGAATTGTGAGCCTGACTCAAAGCCTAGTGAAGTAAACAGGAAGTCCCCTGTTAATTTCAGTAGGTTTTGAACCAGGCTCAATCAGTATAATTCCTGAAGACAACTATGAGGTTGCTCAGACACATGTTGAGCCAATGGCTCAGGCTGAGAGGAATAGCTGGGATCAAATTTTACAGCTAGAGGCTGAGAATGGGAAAGGATCTACAATTTTTCCTTACCTTGCACACACTACTTTTTCTGTCAAATAAATTAGTTAGTTTGTCTCACTAATGGTTTTGCTGAGGAAAGAGAAAACCCATGGGCCTGATCCAAAGCTCACTAAAGTCAAAAGGAGTCTCTCTCTACTTTAGTGCTTTTGGATTAGGTCTTTAGACTGCTAAAGGCATACTTAGCTGATACCCCTGGAGAAGCTGTGGGAAGAGGCTCTTTGGAGTTAGGGTAAGAGCACCTAGCTCTCCTTGTCCCGCCCTTATAGAGTAGCGACTCAAACACTTGAGGTTCTTAGGCTATGCTACTCCAACATCTTGGAAGAGTGGAAGGAGGATTCCTCCCTCATTTGACTCCCTGGAATTCCCTCATATTACCACCCTGTTGCAGGGCACAAGATTTACAACAGCAAGTCTGCTGTGCTTAAAGAAAATGGTCTCAGGTCAGGACAGAGGGCTTGATCTAAAACTGACAGAAGTCAATGGAGATGCCCTTTGGCTTCAGTAAGTGTTGATTCTGGCTGCAAGTGGGGAAAAAAAAAAGTGCTGGATTCTGACTTCACTCTGAAAAAAATCCCTGCATGGCTTTGGACAAGTCATTAACTTCTCTCGTTCTTCCTCCATTTTAAAAGGGAAGTTAATAATATTTCCTTGCCTCTCAGGGGTTTTCTGAGGATTAACTCAACAACCGTAAAGTGGTTTGAAGGTGAAAATAATGAAGTGCTATTCTGTTTCATGTATGGTTTTCATCTAATAAGATAAAAGTAAGGGCAAGCTGAAGTTCTGCAAATAAAGGTAAACATACTACAGAAAAGAGATTTTAGAGTCTGGCTCCTTAACACTCGTTGTCTTACTGACTCCAATGTAGAGGTCGGCATTTATCTGGGCTGGAAGTCCACTTATGAGGTTTTTGGTGAACTGTTGAGGGCTGGGGGAGCAGGGAACAAACAAGGGGCAATTGCCCCTATCTGGCCAGGGCCCATCCACCCTGCATCCACTGCTAGGGACGCCAAAGGGAGCAGGCAGGCAGGGTCTCCATGGGGACTGGCCCAGGACCCTCACAAGCAGGGCACATTTGGCTGGGCACATAGGATGGGGCTGTGGGAATACAAGGTCTGGAGTCTGGGAGTGGGATGGGTTAGCAGAGCCACAGCCAGGACCTAGATCGTGCGGCAGTGACAGTGCGGGACTGGGGCCCAGGGCAGAGCTGCAATCCACTCCCCGTTAGCAGGGGCATGCAGAGAAAAGACCACAGCTCTGCCCTGGGCTCCAGTCCTGCGCTATCACTGCCCCACAATCGCAGCCCTAGTCCTGCTCACCTGTCTCGCTCCCAGACACCACTTCCCCACACACCACAGCCCCATCCCATCTGCTCAGCTCTACCTGTGGGGGTCCAGGCCAGTTTCCATGGAGCCCCTGCCCACCTGCTGTCTGGAGCCGTAGGCGGTGGATGTGGGGTGGGTAGACTGGGGTGCCCAGGAAGCAGAGCCAGGTATGGTGGCAGCAGCAACACTGGCAGTGTTAGATAGAAAGAGCTGCCACTGCCAGGATTGCCAGGAAGCCAAGTCCAGCTGCTGCACTGCCCCAGCCCTGCTGCGTGCCTGGGGACAACAGGACTGGCTGCATGCACCATGGCCCAGGCTGCCCCCTGCACCTAATCCAGGGGGACCCACTGTGGGCCAGATAAAATCTCTTGGCAGGCCACATTCAACCCCCAGGCCATATTTTTCCCACCCCTGCTGCAATGGCACAACCTGAAACAGATGTGCAGGATCAGGCCCATAATTGCTGGTGTAAAGTTTTAATTTTACATCAGTCTTCCTAACCAAAGTTCTGTGCAGTATTTTATCACTCAGGTGTTATCGGGAAATGCAAACAACTTTATTGTTGCCTTTGTTTCTCTCTCAAGCAGCAAAAGCAAAAACCCAGGGTGAAACAACAAATATTATATTCACAGACACAACTTTTCAATGTCTATTGAGAACTTTTATTTTCTATGTGTTTGTATATAACAGAAAACAAAACAGTAGAGACAGATTCTTCATGATTGTATGTCCAACGTGACACCTAATTTCAAAGCCAGTTGTCATGATTGTAAAAAGCAATAGAGTTTTCAGCATCAAGACAGATGCTGTTTCAGAGGACTAGTGACTCATATTTGCACATCCTGGAAGCACACAATTCAATGGTTTGACTGTTATTAAAAATATTCAGTGCAAAAAGACTTGTTTGCCATTGTTTAACAAGCATCTGTGCCCTGGAAGATCATAGAAGAGCATGCTACATTCTTCTCCCCAAAAAATGGCCAGAGCTTGGATCCTGTTAGTTCCCAAACCTGCAAACTTCTCATATCTGCAGAAAGACTTCCAAAGCCCATGCAGGTTCCTTTGCACTATCAATACCTTATTAACTTTTGATGGCCAGTTGAAACAAACATATGTTGTACAGAGACACAAAAAGAAGAAAAAATAGAAAAAGCACATTCAGGAGTCAGTAATAATTCTATAGTTAAGCTTTTAATTAGATTTGATTAAACATGACAGATTCTAAACTGAACTGGGAGGCATGTTCTCTATAAAGTCATGCTGGGGGCTACCAGTTGCCATCTTAACTTTAGCACAAAAGTTTGAGCTGGCAGCCCCAGTCCTGTAGACACAGTTCTGCAGGACCTTGGTTACTGGAATGCAGAATACACCAGCCACTCCCCTTAGTCGCAAGGAACAGAAACAGCTGCACTACCTAAGAATTTCCTTAGGTAACGGACAATCTGATTAGCTATCCACCTCTCCTGTTCATTACCAGAGTGATGTAAAGGGTCCATAAATGGCGCAAGACTCTGGCTCAAAGCAGTGAAAATAAATCTCTGCTATGTATGGAAAATAAAATGTGTCAAACTTACTACTTTGTTCACTCCCAGAGCAAAGACAGAGTTAAATTCAAAATTAAACTCTCTGGCTGTTTAATTCAGAAGCAGTTAAAAATATCTCCTTTTGGATTATGATTATTTTTAAAGTTTACATATTTATAGGTTTTAAAGCCAGAAGAGATCAAGATTCTTATCAAGTTTAATGTACTGCATGATGCAGGCCTTTGAGTTTCCTGCTCAGGTCCAACAGCTGTGATTGAACTAGGGCAGAAAACATGCAAATCTTAAATTTAAGAATCTACCACACCCTTCCTAAATTGCAATAATATTTACTCACTGTTACAAATGTATGTTGTAGTCCCAATCTAAATCTGTCTGGCTTCAACTTCCAGCCATTGAATCTTAGCCAGATTGAACAGCTTTTAATTACCAAATTTCTGTTCCTCGTGTAGGCACTTATATATTGTGTTCATACAATTCTTTAACATTCCATTTGAGAAGGTAAATAGATAGGGCTTCAGATGTCTTGCACTCTAAAGCATGTTTCCAATACTCTGACCATTCTCAAAGCTCCTTTCTCAACCCTCTTCACTTTTTTAGAATCCTTCTTGAAGTGTTGACACCAGAAAGAGAGCCACTGAACCAGTGGTTTTCAACCTTTTTTCATTTGTGGACCCCTAAAAAATTTCAAATGGAGATGTGGACCCCTTTGAATTTTAAGTATGGGTATTCACCACAGACCACAGGTTGAGAACCACTTCAGTAAACCAACAGTGGTCACTCCAGTGCCATATATAGAGTTAATTCAATTTCCCTACTCCTACTTGGTATTCCTCTTAGCTTCGGAGGAAGCAAAAGTGATCAAACAGTTGTAGTCATCCTATTTTTTCCCCACTCTTCTTGCTGTTTATTGGAAGGCACGCCCAGGCATGTAATCTTTATTCAGTACTTAGTGACAGATAGTCTTAAAACTATAGTTTCTTTAGCTTTTGTAATTACACTATTTTCTTTTCTTATATAGGATTCTTCCCTGTAAAGTTACTAACTTACATGCAAACTCTCAAATATTATGGTAATAGTCTCAACACATGGAAAGAAAAGCTGTAATATATAGAATATATAGATCAGGATTAGCTAGTGCTGGTCTATAACTTTGGAGATACGCTATATTATAGAAGATCTAAGTAGGACGTACTTACACATTCAGTATGTACTGGATGTACAGCAAATAGTAAAGCAGCTAGTGGAGATGCTCTTGGAGCAAGGTTTAGCCTTCTTCCTTTACTGCTGTACTGCAGCCCACCCAATAATATCGAGAAGACATCAACCATTAACACACAGATAATGGAATGCAGTATTATATTGATGACATGAAAACCAACTGGGTGGAAGCCTCCAGCAAAAAGGTAATTAAGTCTAGGTAAAAAAAACAAAAACATTAAGATTAAATGAGTGCCTACAGATATACCTGAGGAAACAGACAACCTGATATAGAAAATAGCATTTTAATACAGCGGGAACATTAATAATGTTGAAAAGATTCACTGCATAGTTGCAGTCATGGCCAGGCATCACACTGAACCCCCTTGCTGAATCTACAAAGTTCTTTTCCAGAGAGAAGATTTTCCTGTAGAATTGGACTCATACCCTTGGACCAATTGTCCTTTGCAAAAGTCACCCTTGAAAGGATTGCTGCCAGATGCCAACTGGGAGCAGCAATAATGGCTGCTTTTTGGTAGCATGTGGAACACTGTGAAACATGAAACCTTGCATAATGTTGAAAGTAGGAGTCCTACATGGTAAGCAGCCCAAACAATTTGGAAAGAGCTCATGAGCTTGTGAGTGTAGATCTATTCGCCCTGTACCCACAGTGATTTTGGAAGCAATCCTCTCAAGCATGCCTCAGCCTACTCTCCCCTGTTCCACAAATGTGCAGCATGCAAAAGAGAGGATGAAGCTGCTCTAGGTTGGGGTGTTGACCGTCACTGCTGTTTAGATGTCTTTCTTTCCTGTGCTTGAAAGTGGCAGCAGGAGACACCCTTGGAACAGACTTCATTCCTAGAATGAGCAGGAGTGGAACAGGGGTATGTGGAAGGAACAGCTTTGAGTGGTGTTTCTGCAGGACCCTTAGGACTCTTAATTGCATACCCTAAGGGCCCATAAAATAGGGGGCCAGAGTTGGAATGATGGAGTAAAGCAAGTGTTCTTTTGACCTGAGAGATAAATCCATCCTGCCCTAACACAGAAGTCCTAACTAATCTGCACAGAGATTGAAGATTTTAATCAGCAATGGAATTTGTCATAGCATGCTTAGTCACAATTTTCCTCATTAGTGGTGACCATCAGGCAGCTAAGTTTTCACTCTACACCTTGGCAGTGGCTGTATGTTATTGGTGTTGTGCACACAGAGGTAGTGATGTACTTTGACATCTTTAAAGATGAAAATCATAGAGAAATAGGTCTGGAAGGGATTTCAGGATGTCACCCACTCCAACCTCCTGCTTAGAGCAGAACATTCAGACAAATGTTTGTTTAACCTGCACTTAAAGATCTCCAATGACAGAGATTCCATAGGCTCTTCAGATAATCTATTTTCGTGCTTAGCCATCCTCAGAGCTAAAAAGTTCTTCCTAATATCCAACATAAGTCTTCCTTGCTGCCATTTAAGCCTATTACCACTTGTCCAGTGCCCAGTAATAACTATTATTTAGAGGATGTAGGTGGAAGCAGAATTCTGCTGGGGACAGAAGGTTGTGTGCAAGGAAGTCAGGAAGGACAGCTGGAAAAAGGAATGTGTGTGGGCCAGAATGTTTAGTTAAAGATTCAGTCCAAGAGCCTATTTTCTATAGGACATTTGAAAAAGAAGGGAGTGGGAAAAGAATGTCCCATACATTTCTTTAGAATATTAGCAATAAGCTAAAGACTTCAAAACCTTAATTTGATAATGAGTTTCATGGATTTTGTGCAGCTGACTTGAGTCTTGCTTAATTGATAAACCTGTATGAAGAACATTACATTATAACTGTGTAATACACATACAGCAAAGGCTTAAGGTAGTTTAGAAGCCAATTTCTTATTTTCTCAGAAGGTGTTATTTCCTCATCTCCACATGATCATCTATGGTCTCAATTTTTTAAATAATTGTGCCTAAGTTTCTGTTTAAGTTACCTAGGGCAAGTGCATACACACATACTTTCTGACAGTTAAGCTGACTTAACTGTCAGAGCGTACACACATATATGGAGCAGAATCAACTTAAATGCGGCACAAGATAATACACCTCCAATGTCATTTGCATTAGTTAAGTCAAATTAGCTCACAAGATGGCTTCCACCATGTCAAGGAGCTGTATGTCTGTACACTCTAACAGCTTAAGTCGACTTAAAGTCATCTTATTTTAGGCCAACTTAGTATGCGTGTATGCACCGGGTCTTACTAGAGACAGAGCAAGCCTCAAGGACTCCAAGGGAAAAGGAAAACATGTGCTTTATGTAATTTGGAAACCTCTAATAGTTTTTTAAGCTCCCCACCTATTAATTTTATTTGTATGACACTGGTGCCAAAAAGTCCCAACTCAGAGTAAACCCCATTGTGCTAGGTGATAGACAAGCACACTGTGCGAGATGATCACTACCATTACATGACCATACCAAAGAGAAAAAAGAAGTCAAGGTCCCATGTACTCTCCTGCTCAGATTGGACTCTGTCTGCAATAATGAGAGGAAGGGCTCTGAACTACCTTACTACTGACTAGAGTATGTATGCAGCATGGAGAAAGGAGAACCATGGACAGGGTGAAGGAACTCAGGGTTAGGTCCTCAAAACCACTGCAACACTTGGGTACCTAGATTCCTTCATGCCCTGATGCCTAATAAACCCTCAAGCCCTGAACATCCAGGCTCCTCTCTCAACTGATGGGGCAGATGAGCATTTAAATAGAACCTAGAAATCATAAGAACATAAGAACTGCATTTACTGGTTTGGACCATAGATCCATCTTGCCCAGTACCCTGTGACACACAATGGCAGAGAGTGGATGCTATAAGGAAAAGTGAACTTGGTATGATCAGGGTTTTTTCCACTGTTCCTCTCTCACTTGCAGCCTCCTATACATTAGCCAGGAAACGAGGCAGAAGAACAGTGCTTAACATGGCCAGCAACAGATGCCTGATTACCTGTTTGCGCTTCAAATCCCAGGTACGAGTCCTCTCTTGCAGGTAGGTACCTAAACCCTATTTTCCTGGCAGTGAAAAATCGCATATACACAGGGAACAGAGCACCCCTGAAGAGCCAACAGCCAAGTGGTTACACTTATTTCCTGATGTGTAGGAGAGCTGGTTTCAGATCATGTGTACCCCACCTGTTTGGAGTACAGGTTGGAACCTGGGTCTGCCACATCCAGGTTGAGTGTCATGACCAGCACACTATATTTATTCTCCTGTCAGAGCTGTTCGACTTTGTTTTAAATCAGGTGTCCTGCTTCACAGGTAAATCCCTTCACAACTGGGATGACAGAAATACACATACACCTGTCTTCCCAGTTTTTTTTGCTTTGGGTATGGCTACAGATGGTAGTGCAACTGAGGGGCTGCAACTAGACTAGCAGTCCTGGGCGCTGCCTTTGGAGATCTGTATGCAAAAATAGCTGCTGCTGCAATGGCAACTGACCACACAACCACAATCAGCGTGGCAGGAGCTGGTGCTGCCCTGTGTGTTGGTGGCTGCTCAGGTGCATATCTGTCCTGGTATATCACTGGCTACAAGAATAACTTGAGACAGTTATTGTACCAATAAATGGAGCTTTTAGGATAAAGTCCTTGCCTGTCCCTGGGGTGGTAAAGCACAGACCTAGGGCAACTGTAGGGCAAAAAGTGTTTTCCCCCCTCCCCCACCCTCGGGCAAAGAAACACTTAGTTTAGGGCTCTGTTGGCAGTGTCAGGGTTAGGCATCTTTGCACATATCCACTTGCAGAAACATAGGTGCCTCTAGGGTTAGGCAGAAGCTGAGTGACAGGTTTGAAGATATCTTTGAAACCTAAATACTGGATGTGGCATCCCTCTGAGAACCTAGGTTTTACTCCTTCCTCAGGACAAGTGAGAAGCATGGGAAGAACTAATGTGAGATAATGTAGCCATGTACTACCCCTTACTCTAATGGTAATTTGTATGAACTTTAGCACATTGAGACAGGCCCAGAGCACAAGGATATTGCAATCTAAGTGGGTACAAATAAGGCACAAAGTGAAGTGACTTCTCCAACGGCATTTTGCAGGCCAGAGACAAAACAAAGAATGGGACCCAGGTGTCCTGGTTCCCCCATCCTGTGTTCTAAACCACTTAAACCATCCATTAACCAGTACAGCTATCATAAGAAAGCATCACATGAACAGCTATCTGACAAAGTACGTTTAAACAGAGACATTAAAAAAATCTGTTAAATTGAGATTGGGATAGAGAACAAAATGCAATGGAAACCCAGGACGCCTCCTGCTGCTGTGGGGAAAAGTACCAACTAAAGACACTTTCTCCATGCTGCCCTTGGGAAAACCAGCATTGATGGGTACTGTGCCATCACTGGGTCTCTGTCCTTGGGTGCTGGGTCCTGACACCCACTCACCACACACCCACCTGTCTCTGACCCAAATTGGGTCAATTTGGCTGCTGGGTCAAATGGCTCCACAGGCTGTACCTGGCCTGTGGGCTGTAGACTGCCAATCCTGCTCTACATAAAATTGGTGTAGGATGCTCAGTTGCTAAAATAATTCAAAACAACTCCAACCTGTGAAGTGGGTATACTCTTTTTCCTGTATTAAGCAGGTCCACAGGGCATTCTATAGTTAATGAGGTATGTTAATTATGATGATGTTTAATTATTTCATACAACTGGGCTCCATCTCCATTCCTACTTGTTCACCTTCAGTTTTTGCTAAGGCAATGGTTTTCAAATTACCTAGTCACAGAATCCTTTCATATCACTTGTCTGCTGTGGAACCCCTACCCTTATCCTAAGACTGACACAGAGCCACGTAACCTGACACACAATGATGGCGCACCACCTCCCAGCCTGTCCCACCATTACTTCCGTCTCACTGTGGAACTCCTAATGATTTATCGTGGAACCCTAGAGTTCCATGGAAACCAGTTTGAAAACCACTGTGCTAAGGTAAAATTCAGCACTTTGCAGAGAGTGAGCACAAGGAATTTAAGTGATACCCTTATTTAGTAGGCTTATACAAGGGTTGGGTATTAACTTAAATTCCTTCTGCTGGGCTCTATGAATAGGTGGATTTTACCTTAAGGTCTAATCCTGAAATGTACTTGGAAACATGGGAATCCACCTCCCTGGAACTCATTGCAAGATCAGGACTTCAGTGCAAGTTTAACCGTCTTCCATACCTCAAACAGAATTCCACCTCCCTCAAGGTCTGTCCCGCACCAAAACCAGTTAAAAAAAATGAAAACCCCAGACTCAATGCTAAGGGCACTCTCACCTGAAGGTTAGGACAGTAAGTGGTCGATATGATTTGTGGCTGGTATTGCTGCTGAGTTTGCTACCCCAAAAGTCGTGGTGCCACAGGTCGCCAAGAGGGGTTTCTGCCCTGAGGTCCTAAAAGAAGATATTTGTTAACACCAGCACTGTTAACACTCCTGTTTGGTTAGAGGCAGCTGGATTGAGAACAATTACATACAAATGTAAACTGGCACTAACAGGACCACATTTTAAAGCACTTGATATAAAAGTATTGCCTATGTGGTTGACTACGGACAATTAACAGAAATTGGCCTGGAGTCTTTCCCTATACTCCTTTAATTATCACTGAGCTGACCCTTGGATCGTGCAATTTAGCATCACTTTGTGAATTTCAATGGAGCTGTGCTGATTTACATTAGTGGATGACCTAATGATAGGTGTATAGAGCACATTACAAAAATATTAGTTAAAATACATTTAATTTTAGAAACAGGTATCTTGGGAAATGGGACAAGTGCATGCTGTTTCAAATAGCTATTTTCCATTAGTTTGAGCATCACACCCATTAATGAAAGAAGGATATAAAGCAATGACTAAAGATGGCAACCAGTGATTAGCTCTTTTTAAACCCTGCTGCATCGCTTGCTTACTTTTCACATAACACCATTCAAATGGTACTCTATTTTTTACAGAGGAATTTGCTTCTTGGATTAACCTAAATACTGTTCTAAAAAGAAGGTTAGTGACAGTTGTTAGGAAAGAAATTCATTATAAGCCAACACAGAAGGGAAAAAATTATACTTAACCCCACCTACCCCTACACAAAGTAGAAGTTTGCAGTTAAATTTATCTTGAAGACAAGCTGATAAAGAAGTGATAGAGATTACTTGATCTTGAGATGTTCTCTTAGGAAAGCACATGAAAAGTCTGAAGAACACAAATGAGAACAAGACATACCAAAGGTCCATCCCCATGCAATACATCATGCATTGTGTTCGTAAATAACTGAGGTTGGTGCACTGACAAACCCGCTCTGCCTGCACCATGCTCTCCCTTTCTCTCTTCCTAAGTGAAGTTTGAAATACTGCTCTCCTTTATGTTAGTGCTACCCCATGCAGTATAAATGAAGATCTTTAGTATGATTCAAAGACAAGACCACACCTGATAGCAAGATATCTAATACCCGCAAAAAATCACTTTCATAGGGGAACCTGTACTGTGTGTGCAATCATTCATAGTTTATTTCTATTCAACTGACAAGGTGGAGAAAAAATAATAACCAGGTAACCAGACACAAAATATCACACATACAGGCACACATCTCAAAACATCACACCCTGACCCACACCTCATACCACCACCATCACCTGAAACCTAATATTCCTTTTTCTGGGTTATCAATCAATAGATAGGATCAAATTTGGCAGAGTTCACTAGAGATGCACAAGATGAAATACTGCCACAAACCTACATATGAAATAAAGAGAGGGTCTTGTGGCACAGAGATTGGAGAGATCAGACTTCAATGCTCAGCACTCATAGAGAAGCCTCCAAGATCAGGCAAGAGCCATAACATGGAAAGATAAGAAGTCAGGTGTTGCAAAGCTTTATTTTTAGGTACGTGGCCCTTGAAGAAGCAGCCAGAATGCTATATTTGGTGCATGGGGTGCCTATACAATTTGTGGGGAGAACAATGTGCCTCCAAGTGGGACCCAGAGGACATCTCATTGAAGAGGAATCCACCAGAAGTCAGCATACTAAAGCATGAAGTTGCTTAGAGCTGCTGAAGAAAGCACCTGATTCAGGACTGTAAAAAGTGCCTTAGTCCATTTGGGATCCAACACTCAGAATATTGTGAAAACAGGATAAAACTGCTTTTTTTAAAGATACTGAGCAGGCTTGATTGCTGTCTTCCAAATCATTGTCAGAAGAGGAGGTAGTTCCCCCCACATACATCTACACTCCATTTGTTCAAGAGACTATTGTGGGATAATTTAAGTTCAACTCCCTCCTTTGTTTAAGGGGCTTCAAATCCATATGTCCCACTCAGAAGAGTGACCAAAATACCAGCCCGGAGATCTTAACCAGTCTCTACTTCTTTTGTTGATGTTATCCCACTGTGCAGAAAATAATTACAAAATTAACTGGGCCTTGTGATTCTTAAGAATGTGCATTTGTGAGAAGGAAGGCCTGGGTTTCAGTTCGTGCTCTCAGGACTCCTTCTGAATTGTACAGTTCAACAGAAAACACAGAAAAAATGTTTAGAGAAGGGATCCAGGTCTACCCCCTCTGGTGACTGCCCTAACCAGTCAGCTACAATCCCTGGATCCCTTCTCTAAACATTTTTTCTGCATTTTCTGTCCCACAATGACCAGGGATCCTGGTTTTGTCCAATTAAAAAAAATCCCCAATTTTTGGATTAAAAAAAAGTAATCCCAAATCCACATTTTTCTGTTTTTCTGTGATTAAAATGAAAGGTCACTCATGTATGAAAGGCCACTCATGTATGAAAGGCCATATATGAGTGGCCTTTCATTTTAATCGCGGAAAAATGTGGATTTGGGATTACTTTTTTTAATCCAAAAATTGGGAATTTTTTAAAATCGTACAAAACCAGGATCCCTGGTCATGAAGAAGCTTAGCACCTAAGGCAGTTCTAGATACAAGCAGAGGTGTATCACTACCCTGATGGGAACTGAGGTGCACTTAGGGTTAGGCAAGAGCTGTAAAAGAGTTTTTGAGATCAAAGACTTGAATACAGGCACCTAAATTATGCTTACAACCTTCTTTAGGTGTTTATGTTTTTTTGGATATGGCTCCTAGAGTGCAACTCTGTATTCAGTTGTACTCATTTGCTATGTATGCTGGTGAGGTATATAAAACATAAAAAGGCATTAGATAACCTAAAATATGAAACAATGCATTGTAACTGCTGAATCCTTTATATTCAAAACAGGATCAATAAAAAGTGATACCAAAAAAACATTTTTGTTGTATTACACAAGGTTCTACCTTCCCTGGGAAATGGTACCTACAGCTGCTGTATTCATATTGCAAATAACAACATACCCTAGCACAGTCTCCAAGTGCTAGAACTACAGTTTGCACAATTTAATCCAGAGTTTAATTTCTGTCTTCAAGAAGAAGAAAGCGGACCCCTTGCAATTAGACTGCACTTACTTATGACCTGAATTCTACAGAGCTCAGAAGTGCTAAACTCAATTACTTGAAGGTTTAAGGTTTTCAGAAAGCTACGTATAACAGTCTGTACACTTCCATGAGCTTACTCGAAAAGGGGAAGATTGCTTTTCCTTAACCAAATGTAGTTCACATCTATTTGAAAAAGTTATGTACAGTTTTCACCACAGAAGAGAAAGTAGATACCAAGGAATCTCTAAATATTTGATTAGCATCAGCCTACAGAGCATGGCACAGTATTTGAAGAAAGGTCAGTTTTCCTATATAATGGCTTATGGAAAAGATACATTGCAGCTGAAATTCCTGCTAACCCAATGGCTTGTCTTACCAAAATAATTAAATAAAGAGAAATCATTGCTGTGCACCAGTTAAAATGCTGCTCAAAATGACAATGAAGCATCTGCAAAATATCCTTGAAGACCAATAAAATCCAGCAACGGAACACTTCACAATACGATAGGCATGAGGCCAACTAACAGCTTATCTTTCATTAAAACAGGAAAGAAAGCAAGGAGGGCTAGCAAGTTAACAAAAGGGCCATAGTGTGGTACTCAAGAAATTACCAGCAAGCAGGTCTACAAAACAGCTTCACCTGCTATATCTCAAACTGAATGATCATAAAACATTCTGTACCTTGTTTAAGAAACCCAGTGTTTACTATGCAGCTCTCCCCCCTGGTGTCTTCACACGTTGATACTGATTTAATATTTCTATATTTTATTCTGATCTCTAATTAGTTTTACTCACCAAAATTCTAGAAAAAACAAGATTAAAATGTGAAAATAATTCTTCTGTATTTTCAAACGCAGACCATGCTCGAATGAAGTTATTTAAACAATTGATTTAATTTCATATCCTTGCCTAGAGCTAGTTCAGCTATTTTTCTGTGCATGTTGATGAACTGAAATAACAACTTCTGCTAGACAAATTTGAGAGAAGTGGAGAAAGATTGCAAGTGTGGAAATTGCAGTAAAACAAACAACTAAATCTACCATTGCCCTGGTATACCTGTCAAGCTTTTCTTAAAACAAAAATGCATCATTGTGCCCCAAATAAAATTGTGCAGAATAAGTCTTTTCTACGAGATGTGCCATTTTAACAAACACAATGCTTTCTGAAATCACTATAGGTACTTAAAACCATTTGTTGAACTGTCTTAGAAGCTTGAAAACGTATTCCTATTCAGAAGACTTATTTTCTTCCCATTATATCTTATACCAGGTGAGATAGTTTACTCAAACATACTACAAATTGGTTTCAAATAATAATTCAGTGAGATTCTAAAAGGTATGTTGTGATAGGCTACCCCCAATCTTGTTTCCTGTAGAAATTCTGTGGGCTGTATTTTTTCCTAGGGGTATTTGAGCCTCTTTGGTGCTTTTGCCTTTATTCAGCAAAAATGAACCAATAGAGATGGACTCCTCCTGTACCCATTCTATGTACCTGTCTTCTCCCAACCCCAAAACACCAGATATTATAGGCCAGAGCAGAAACTGTTGACTAAGACCAAGCTCTTGGCTAAGTGTCCAGTTTGTTATATGCTTATTAATGAGGTGCTTCAGGAACAGAGGATAATCAATACTTTGCAGGACCAGGCCCTGGAAACATTGCAAGAGCTTTATTCTTCAAGTAGCTGAAAAACTGACTAAGGGCTATAAACAATGACTGAGTGAATGGTTTTTCAAAAGTTGTTCATTGCGTAGACAGTTTTGACAAAGACCATACTTTCTTAATGCTTCTTCTCTATTTAAACAGTTGTTATAAAAGGAACGTTGTGTGATTAATGGAAAGAAAGGGAAGATGATCCATGAGTCACTCTCACTATTAAGCTGTGGTGTTTACTATGAAAAAAATTTACTATGAAAAACATTCTCACCATTCTGTTGTTGAGTGAAACTCATCATCAGCAAATACTGCAAACATTTCTGCACCAGAGTAACTAGGGAATCGTATGCTATAGGGCAACTGCTGCCACAGCTGTGCCAGTATAGCTATTAGGAGTCTGCAAAATGGGCCGTATTTGAATTGGATTTGGCTCGATTTGGGGACAGTGATTCAATTCGTTGATTCAGATCACTGTCCCTATTCGGTTAGGCTGAATACGAATCTGAAGATTCAATGCCGATTCAGAGAATCAGCAATTCAGCCAAAGACACAGCTTTAAATGTTTTTTCTACACACCTTGAGGTACCAGGTGCGGCTCGTGAACACTGCAATGTTGGGGTGGATGGTGTCCCCCACAGGAGCACAGGGGGGACCCTGCGCACTCCACGGCGAACCCAGAAGTGGACCGGAAGTAATTCTGGTCCACTTCTGGGTCCGCCATTGAGTGTGCAGGGGATCCCGCCCCCCGTGGCCCCATGGCCTGGTGACTGGCTGCAGGGGGACCCCAGGAGCTCCCTCCCAGACCCAGAAGGCACCAGTCGCCGAGCCACATGGAAGGGTGGGGAGGGAGGGATTGCCCCTCGCATGCTCCACCATGAATCTCGAGGTGGACCAGGAGTGCTTCTGGCCCACTTCTAGGTCCGCCGCTGAGTGTGTTGGGGACCCCACCACACTCCTGTGGGATGCTGCATCTGCCCCACTATCTCAGCATTCACAAGCTGTCTGGTACCTTGAGGTACGTAGAAAAAACATTTAAAGCTGTGTCTGTGTCCGAATTATCAAACCTCTCTGAATCAAACTGATGGGTTTCGATTCAATTCGGAGAGATTAAAGGGTCTTCTGATTTGATTCAGATTCGGAGATCTGGCTGCCGAATCGGGCTGAATCTCCACTGAATCAAATCAGCGACCGAAGCTTCACACAGCCCTAATAGCTATGTCAGCACAACCACCTAATGGGGATACAGTGTATTCAAACAGAAGGGGGTTTCCAGCTAGATGAGCTACCCCACCTCCTGAAACAACACAAGGTAATCTAACAAAAACCCTCTCCCATCAGCATAGTTTAGTGTCTACACCAAGGGTTTTGTCAAAAGAGTTTTCACTTAGCTTCCGTTTATCACCTATTCAAGGCAATGGAAAGTTTCCTATTGGCTTAAATGGGCACTGTAGTTTGTTCTAAGGGCCTAACTTGCATTCACTGAATTCATTGGCGAAGGCTACCAATGACTTAAAACTGGGAAAACAATTGGGTCCATATGGACATGCATCCATGTATATAATTTTCAAGACTATACCCTAACCCTGGGCAAACTCATTCAAGTTCAGCCGCAGAAAAAATAAAGTACATTTAGGCTGCTGATAGATGTGAACACTGCCCCCCCCCCCCAAAAAAACCAAACAAAAAGGAGCGCTTTACTAGACGAGGAAGCACATCAGTGTGACCTGGCTCATCCAACGTCTGTATAGATTGCGTGCTTCAGTGGGGCTTTTTGACACTTTTATCTAATAGCTGACTCAATCATCTATTAGATAAATACACCAAAAAGTCCTGCTGAAGTGCACAATCTATACAGACGTTGGGCGAGCCAGGTCAAACTGACATGATGCCTCTTCTTGGCAGGCATTGCACTCAGCGTCCGGGTGTGCCAAGATGAAAGTAAAGCACCATTTCTTTTTTCACATCTGTAGGCAGCCACTATGAGCCAAAAGCGGCTGCTACTCTATCTTGACAGCCAGCAGTAGTGGTTCTCAAGCAAGAGGCTTGGAGAAAGGGAATTAAAACAGCTGCATTCTGGGTAACTGAGCTAATTAATCTTCTCATTGCTGCTTCCTTGCGTGTGCACCAGCACTGAACTAAAGTTGTCAAAACAGCTTTGGGAGTAAGGATTTGTTAGATTATTTCTGCTCCTTCTGCTTGCTCCACAGTAGAGCAATTATAAAAAAAAAAAAAAAAAAAAAGTTTTTTCAAATCACCACAAACTCACAAAGGTTGTAAAAGAT